ACGCCAGCTCTGAGCAGCAGGGCCCCGGTTCGGATCCCACATGAGGGCCAGTGACACTGCGCCCTCTACAGCTAAGATGGTGAACAACAGCTCGAGCTGGAGCTGGGCTGCTGTGAGTCGCCAGCGACGGCATAGAGCATAGGCTGCAGAGGGGCTGCCATAAAGCTACTGTGAGTAGCTGGCAGCCGGCGTGAGCTGCCAAGAGCCGCTGTAAGTGGCTGTCTGGTGGCCAGCAACCAATCTGCCTCACCCGGGGAAAGCGCAATGATAATACCAACATGGGCTAGTGAAGCGACGTCCTCCACAACTAGACTGAAGAACAAAAGGACAGCAACTTGTCTGTTCCCATTCCCCGATTGCCCAACGCTATTCCCCTCCCCCAATTCCCCAATGAAATCTTTAAAAAAAAAGTAAGGAAACCTCCTGGAAAGTAGGACAGAAAGATAAAAAGAGCTGAACAGTGGTAGAGAAAAGCTCAATCAGAGGATTAATCCAGGATGTCCAACTGACATGAATTCCAGAAAGAAAGAAAAAAGAAAAACAGAGGGCAGGCCATTGTGAATAAAAAAATCCATGACCATTTTCCAGGCATGAGGAACATGAGTTTCCAGACTAAAGGGTCCAGGCAGTGCCCGTCACAGTGAATGAAAAAGACCCACCTCTAGTGCACATCACTGGTACATTTCTAGAATGCCAGGGATTAAGAAAAGAGCCTGAAAGCTCCCATGTGGGGCCGGAGGATGGTTTCACATGAAGGACCAGTAAGCAGAATGGTTCTGGACTTCAGCAACACCAAGAGCTACCTAGAATCCTACTCCCAAGTCGGCAGTCAAGTGTAAGAGTAAAATAAAGGCATTTTCCATCGAGGGTTCTCTCGGGAAACTGCACCTCAGAGTGTGCTCCATCAAAACAAGGCATTAATCAAACAGAGAAGACAAGGGATCCAACAGGAGAATCTGAAGAGAACAGCTGGCAACAGTCCTACAGTTAACAGTCCAGGCTGAAGCCAGAGGGTACAGTGTCACCAGCCATCTTTCTTCATCCCAGCAGCCACCATGTTGCTGAGGTTTGTCTGTTCTCTCCATCTATAAACACCCTTCCCTTCCATCCCTCTGCTCAGTTCCTAGGGCGCCTCATCTCATCTCTCCCCCAGGGCTGTCTACTCCAAACCTCTATTTTCCACTGAAGTGTCATACAGAGCCATCTGTCTCTTATGCTCCGTTTTCTTCCAGACTGTTCCCAGAGGACTTTGCCCTTCTCAACCAAAAAAGTCATCAGGACATCTCCTACACAAAAGGGCTCGCCTGACCCAGGATCTCCACCCCAGGCAACACAAACAATCAACCACATTTATTCTTAACTGGTCCCTGGATCAAATTCTTAAGCTAAGCATCATTTCCTCCCAATGACATTATAAAGCAGGAGGGAGACAGTAGAAAAATCATTCTTTCTTGGTTGAGCACGCACGCACACACACACACATACACACAATACTATTCTTATGCATGTCCAGGAAACAGAGATTATGGTGGGGAGGTCTACTTCAGGGTTTAATCCCTCACTTTCGCTCAGTAAGTTCTATCTTGAGTCTGACTCAATTATCCCATTTCCTCATCTCCCGTTCCAAGATGCCTTCCCTGTCCTGCCCACTGTTTGGTTTCTGTTCTGACTGCCACCTGGAGGTTCTGTCTCCCCAGTGAGGCTGTGAGCAACGTGCTCGGTGCAAAGCACAGTTACAGGTTTCAATAATGGATGGATGATGGACTGAAAACCATGGCCTCTCCCAGCGTTGTTCCCTCTTGGGAAAAGGGCCCCAACTGCTGGGCCACCTCCCGTTACCTGAGCCCCTTCTCTGGCCCGGCCACTCACCTTGGGCTCACCCTGAGCTGCAAAGCGGGTGCGCAGTACATCCACAGGATGAACGGTGAGGGTGGCCATGCAGGCAGACAGGCCACCGCAGACAAAGTGCACGGAGAAGTCGCGGGCGTCGCGCATGCTGGCTCTGTGTACCAGCTCGGTCAGCATTTCAAACGACAAAAACTGCAAGAACGCGGGACAAAGTCATTGACAAGACACCCCCCAAATATACTACTCATGACCCAGGTGGGGCCCAGTTCTAGGGATGAGAAAAGAGTCTTCTGGAGCAGCGAAAGAATACAACAGACGTAATTTTGTGCAGCTCAGATGCCATTTTATACTCTATTGGAGTTGAACCCAATACCCAAAGGGTTCAGATGAGAAAAATCCTGTATCAGAAAATTCTACTCATTAACTTAGTTTCCTGGGACCTGGGAAAAGATGGCCACTACCTGATTCTCGGCAGGGGACCCCTTCAGTGCAGTGGGCAGTGGCACGGTCTGAGAAACACTCTGGCCTGAAGCAAAAATTCTGTCGGGGGAATTCCACATATTCCATATTCCGTGGTATTATCCCCACTTACGCTCAGATCTTCCTCCAGCCAACTTAAGATGGCTTGGGGTCCTGAGAGTGCAAGTTGTACTTATTCATCATGCTGAGCATGTGTGTGCCAGGAATAGATGGGATGGCAGGGCACGTCTACCCGGCGCACGCCGGACCTGAGCACTCGCTGGGATGTCACAGGAAGAGCAGGCAGGGACTACTCTGGCGCTAGCTGCCCAAGTGGGAATCCTGGCTCTGCCACTTCCTAGCGAGTGACTGCGGTTGGGTTAATTACTTAAGCTCTCTCTGCCTCAGTCTTGTCGTCTGTAAAACAGGAGTGACAAGAGAACCTACCTCAAAGCACTGCTGTGAGATAATAGATGTGAAGTGCTTAAAACGGGCCTGGCCCACAGTTAGCACTGTAGAAGGGCCAGCTGTTACCACTACCACTGCTGTACAGCCACGGGTCACACACCATGAAAGGAACTGGCACTCAGCTGAAGAAGGAGTGAACAAGAGTCAGGACGCTGGATTCTAATCCTAGCCCCACCACTTACAGGCTGTGTGGCCTCTGGCAGCTCACTTGACCTCTCTGATCCATATAACACTTACTCTACCTTCCTCACAATGCTGCTGGGAAGTTCAAAGGAAGCACAGATATGAAAATACTATTTTGAAAAATGAAATGCATTGTGTCGCCATTTGCCAAGCCCCACTGGGGGTGTGGTGTCAAGAGTCTCCTAGGTGTAATACCTAATATTCAGAAAAAAATGCCTATGGTTCAGCTCAGTCTATGTCTTCAATCTGTCAGGTAGGTTCCCAGTTAAGACAAATGAGAAGTGTGATGACCGCCTGCTGCTACCCTGCCCCAGGCGGTGTCCCAGAGCCTCCACTGAGCAACTTGACCCCAGGGGCCCGGCAGTGCCCCTGCCACCTACCTGGACAGCTCCATAGCCTATGGAGAGAAGCTGCGCTGGGATGTGGCCCTTCCAGAATGCTGTGGGGCCCTCCTCCTGCAGCATCTGTCTTGCAGCCTGAAGGATCCCATGGTACTTCGCATTGGGGTCACTGCGAGACAGGCGCTCAATCTGAAGCTAGGAATCAAAATTGAGAAGGTCAGGACGGTACGGGCGGGGGTGGTGAGAAGGAGAAATTTCAGAAAAGGTAATGAAGGCAACCAACTGCTTCTCCTTGACACAATTCCAAGTTCTCAAGAACTGCTCTGGAAAGAGTGAACTTGTCCTTGTCCTCCAGCCCATGACATAGGAAAAGGGAGAAAGAGTACCTGGAAACGAATCTTGATGACGTCCAAGGGGCTGATCAGCGCCCGGGTGACAAGTCCAGACACAGACCCAGCCACTGCCACCTCGAAATTGGAGATATTCCTGCCATCTGCTTTGGGGTCATAGCCAACCATCGCTGCCTCTGGCCCATACAATGTCCATCAGCTTCAAGCGAAATGCAAGAGACATGGAGTAAACACCAGAGCGAGTTTTAGGGTCTCTGCTGACCTATCACCTCCTCAGAGCAGCCTTTCCTGACCAGCCATCTGAAACAGCGCCCACGTCCCTTTTGATCTCCTTACCCTGCTTTACCCTTCTCTATAGCAGTTACACGCTGGACGTTTATTCCGTACATCGCATTTGAGACAAGAATGCGAGCCCATGCAAACATGGTCTTGGTCTCATTTGTCCATCTCTATTTCCAGGGCCTGGAACAGAGTCTCACCATAGTAAGTGCTCATAATATTTGTTGATTGAGTGAATGAACTTGGTAAGGCAATCGTTCACTTCCAGAGATTAACTGACTTTCCAAGACACCAGCTTTATGGCAAACTCCTGCCTGGATGAAGTCCCAGGGTGCGGGGGCTGTCAGACACGCATGTTCCAGGAACACGGCCTGGGATTCCTTAACAGGCCCACCTGATTCAAAGGAAGAGCCCAGTGTGCCCTGAGCCCTTTTGCGTTTCCCTTCCCCACCCTCTGAACACACTTCCGGCCCACCCAGAGCAGTGGAGCAGTGTTCTGCTATGAGATGATGCTCGCAGGCCCTGCTGACCTCCTCACCCCCACCCTGGGCCACTCTCAACCAGGGTGGGCTCAGTGCTTCTGCCCGGTTCCTAGAAAGGCTGCTGGAGGTCCTTGTCTACCCTCCTGGCCTTTGCACTTACTGTTCCCCTTGTCTGAAACGCAGCCCCCGTTGCTCTTCCCAAGGCTAGCTCCTCTCATCTAGAGCTCAGCTAAAGCGCATCCCCTTAAGATGCACTTATGTCCTGGCTAGCACTCACAGCACCTGCTGCTGTGTTCTGTCCCCTCCACCCACAGGAGGTAGGCTCCATCAGCCTCCTTACAGCCAGATCTCCAAAGATCATCAGCTCAGTGCTTGGCACACCCCAAAAGCTCTAAAAACAATTAATGAATAAATGACTAAAGGCCAGTAACTTTTAGATAATAGAAGTAACACGACCTTGCAGAAAGAGAGAGAGGGGAAAAAACCCACCACCTTAACACTTCTCACTTTACATATTCCTGTCTGGCTTTTTTCTGTACATGGCTTTTAAAACACAAAATATCATTAAGTATGATTCCATGTTGCTACACGATCTTCGTAAACATCATTTTAAATGGCTAAATAATATTCCATTGATTAGCTATGTCATAATTTGTTAAGCACTGTGGTTTTTTAAATATATAAATTTATTTTTAAGATGTCTAATTCCATTTTTATCTAGAGCAGAGTCTCTCAACCTCACCACTACTGACATTCTAGAATGGATCATTCTTTGTAGTGGGCAGCTGTCCTGTGCATTGTAGGATATTTAGCTGCACCCCTGGCCTCTGCCTATTAGATGCCAGGACACCACACTCCCCACAATCAAAAATGTCTCCCAATATTAACAAATGCCCCCTGGGGTGCAAACCTGCCCCTGGTTGAGAACCACTGTTCTAGAGAAATAGTAGCATGGGTGCGTGAAATGGAATGCATTGCACTAATGTTTGTAAAACAGGTTATGTGCAAACGCTTACCAAGGTTGGGATAGATAAGTACACTAAGTCACATCCATGCCATAGACTACTATGCCGCCATTAAATAGAATGAGCCAGAGCTATGTAACACTTGAAAAGACGTCCGCGATAGAGTGAAACATGAAAAAAAGCCGTTTTCAGAATACTATGTCTTGTATAACCCCATTTTTACAAAAGAAAAATAGCAAGACCTATATACGCTCTGTATAGTCGTATCATGCACAGAGGAAAGTCTGTGACGACACACACCAACAGGCTGGGAAGATTACCTTTGCGGGGAGGGTTGGCAAGATGGAAGGTAGATCTGTCCCTATATCATTTGGATTTGTTATGGCCTCCCCAAAAAAACCCCAACTGAAACTAAATATAAAATGATTTTAGAAGGAACCTCAGAATTAACCTTGAATACCTGTAGTGACAGGGAAGTCAGTGCCCACATAGTGACCATCTTCACCCACCATTGATTCTTTTACTCCTCTCACCCACTCTGGATCTCTGTCCACACTACTCCCTCGGCACCAAGTCCTCACTTTCCTGAAAGTACCAAAGTCGTGCTCCAATCCATCCTGAAAACCAACATGACATTTCCATGGGGGCTCTATAAGCAAAGTAGTCTAAAATAATACTTTATCAAAAGTCTAATGATATGAAACCCCCTGACCCCTGCCAGGAATGTGCCCATTTCTTGGTATCTTCTCCGATTCCTTCAACGGAGGAGGCCTGACCTTTCCCATCAAATTCTCTGTGACATTAATTCAAGCTACTTCTCCCTGGGCACCTGTGAGGAGTGGTTTAAACATGGGGCAGGTGATTGAGAGGCAAAGTCTCTCTGCAGGTTCTCCAGGGGACTGCTCAGGTCACATCAAGCTGGGTCAGTTCCCTGCGGGCAGAGGGAGGGAGGCATGTCTACAAATAGGCAGCTCTACATAACCGGACATAACCCTAGACCTCAGATCAAGAGGCCTGACGTCCAGTTCTGCCTCTCCCATGAATCTTGGGTAGGTTTATTTAATCTGGGCTCAGTTTTCTCTTCTGGAAAATGGGAATTATGTCCGCCCAGCCTACCCCAGACTGCTGCCAGGATGAGGCAAGATAACACATGTGATAAGCTTTGTAGAAAACATAAAAGTCTTATATACGTGAAAGGGCTGGTTACACATAGTCCAATGGGGGCCTTACTTTCTCTATTGCTCAAAATTTCCTTCTTATACCAATAAGTCTTGATATTTATCTAAAGAGACAAAACAAAAATGAAATATAATTATATGCATGATATATATAATACAGCACCGAGAAAATGGGGGCCGCTAGAGTGAGTGGCAGGGTGGATGGGGTGTATGTGCGAGTTTGCCTTCGCCACCCCCTTCTCTTATTGCGGAAGCCCCTGGCATTCGGGTTTGCAGGAGCCCAGCCGACGTGAGTTTGAGTGCTCGTGTGCCCACGTGTTCATTTAAGGGTCTGTGTAGATGTCCCCGCAGTGGACAAAGGTGCCCAGATGTGCCTCATGGCGTTTTTCTCCCCAAGTTCGAGAAGATGCCCGGCGAGGCGGGCACCCGAGTGTACAGGTGCCCTGGTTGTGTACCGGTTTTGGGCTCCTGTGTCCCTGAAGATGCTTCTCTGATCAAGCATGACACGCGTGCGTACAGTCCCGGCCCACCGCGTGAATACCTGTGTGTGTGTGCTCCCTCCGGGGACCGAGGGTGCAGGTCCCAGAGCCGACGGCAAGAAGGGCGGAGGTAGAGGTCACTCACCCGGCTCGGAGTGCGCCGCCCAGCTCCCCTCGCTCTTCACGCCCTCCCTCCCCCCGGAATCGTTAGACTGCAAAACTCAACTTGCGCCGGGAAGTAACTGACGGGCCCCTGAGCCAATCACCACGCAGCTTCCGACAGACACTGGACCAATGGTGGTACAGTTGTCATCCAGCCACCGCCTCCCGCAACGTGTACATGGGTAATGTAGTCCTTCGCAACCAAGGGTGTTCCCTCGATGTGCAGAGCCTCCTGGGGGATGTAGTCTGCATGCGCATGGCTATTACCCATACGTCGGAAAGCAACCGGTGTCCAATCCAGGCTGCGCCCTTCGAGGTCTCTGTGCCCAGTGGCTTGTGGCAGGGATCAGCCTGCTGACGAGTGGAAGGTTAGGGAGCGCTGAACTCGACTCGCTTTTTTCAAAATATAGGTAGTTCCAGAATTGGATAACATAAACTTGGGGATAAAAGGAGGGTAGCTTAGCAAAAACCTGGAGGACGAAGGGGCAAGATGGGTTTTTAACACCAGGAAGACGACGGCAAAAATGTAGAGGTTTTGTTTCCCCCTAGGGTTTATTATGCATAATTTCTCATTATAAAATATATAGAGACACATTACAGAAGATGTAGAAATGACGGGGAAATGACTCATTGTACTGCTCTCACGCTAGTGTCACCGTTTTGTAAGACTTTCTTCCCGATTTTTAAATTGCACTTTTCACACTAGTGCAATCATTTTTTTTTTTAAGATTTTTTTTTTTAATTGGGGAATTGGGGGAAGGGGAACAGACAAGTTGCTGTCCTTTTGTTCTTCAGTCTAGTTGTGGAGGACGTTGCTTCACT